CTTGTCCACAGAGGCGGAGACCCGGCAGAGGCTGCTGCGCACCGTCAAGAAGGAGGTGGGTGCCGGGGCGGCGGCGGGGGCGCGACCCCCGGGGGAGGGGGAGAGGTCTCCCGGGGAGGGGCGGCCCCTGGCGGCGGGGGGCGGCCGCCTCGGGGGTGGGGCTCACCGGGGTGGGCATTTACCTCCCGCAGGGCTGGAGACGGATGAGTTTGGGGGTGGGGGCCTCAGGTACGGGGGGCTCTGGATGTTTTTGTGCTGTGAGCCGGGGCACGTGCAGCTGCGGCCCCTCCAGGTGTGCGGCACACCTGGCCGTGTCTGGGTAGGACTCCCTCCTGTGGAGGAGCGGGTGGGTGGGTCTCACTAAGGGGAGACAGGCACCTGGGGGGCAGACAGGCGTGTTGGGGGGAAGGCTGCAGAAGGAGGACCAGAGTTCAGAAGAGGGAGAAGATTCACTTTGGGAAAATCAAGTCTCCCCCCATCCCCCTACCCCACCCCCAAATTCTCAGTCCTTGGACGCCCCCCAGGAGCCAGGAGACTCCCTCCCAGAGAGTCCCTGGTCAGCGGGTTACTCCATTTGCGGGCATGTGCCCACGCTCTCCTGGCAAGCAGGGTCCCTTCACCCCCCACCCCCACCCCACACACGCAGGAGGGTGAGAATCAGACAGGGTCCAGCTGCCCCTCTGCCCCTTCACTCTCCCCAGGGGCAGCCGGGAGCCCAGTCTAGCTTTAGAGTTCATTGCCTATGACTTCCCACAGAGGGGGAGCATCTATATTGATGGGGGCTGGGGGAAGCATTTAGATGCCTGGACTGTATGTGGGCAAGTGTGTGTACGAGCGTGCACACGCCTGTGTGGGTGAGGACATGTGGCTGTGAGCATGTGTATCTGACATTGTCTGTGCCTCTGTCTGGAGATATCTAAGTGTATCTCTGTGTATTGTGTGTACATGTGTCTGTGTGTTCACCTGTTTTTGTGAGGATGATGTGTATCTGTGTGATGCAGGAATGTGCATGAATGAGTGAGGCTGTGACTGTGTGTGTGTGTGTCTGTGTGTGTGTGCATCGCCCTCCTCACGTTACCCCACATCCCTCAACCCCGGACCCCATTGCTGCCGAGCCCGCATCACCTCTGTATCTTGAGTCCTCAGCCCGAGACCTCACATGGCTGCAGACCTTGGAGGCTGGCTTGATTCCCGTGCCTCTGTGTGTGTTGGGGGTGTTAGCACACGAGAAGCCCCTCCCTGCATGATGGCAGGCAGCCACCAAGGGCAGCCTGTTGCTGCCTCTTCCTCCTCCGGGATCGTGGGTGTGTGTCTGTGTGTATGTCTCTGTGTGTCCCACGTTGTTTAAAGAAACAGCTCCAGGACTGCTTGCACATTCTAGCATTTCTGAATAAGGAGACATACAGGATACAGAAAGGCCCAGAACTTTCTAGCTCAGCCTGGGAAGAGACCCCTGTGGGGACCTGAAGAAAGCTCTGTCTAGACCCTTTTTCCAACAAAACCTACAGACGCACAACATTCTGATGACTGTTCTGGGGGAGATTCCCCCAAAAGCCTTCAGGTTAAAAACCTGCAGTCTCTTTATTCATTGTTTAACTGAGCCCAGGTGTAATACGTGCTCCCCAGATGTTTTCACCTGAAATGGCTGTGTTTTTAAGGACATGGTTGGCCCATTCAATTGGGAGGGGGGCTTCAGGCAGAAGAGTGTGTGACCAAGGTGTCTGGGGAGGGCAGTGCTTCCCACCTCTGGGCAGGGTTCTGGGTCCCTTGGCGCCCTGGACAAGTCCCTTCCCCTCTCAAGGACACAGTTTCCACATCTGGAGAAGGAAGCATTGGTTCAGTGTCCTTGGAGGTCCCGTTCATGTCAGTCTGGTTTGGGTTATTGGCCAGGCCGTGGGGGACACTTTGCCCCTGGTGGCCAGTGGTCTGGGCCTGCATCCCCTCTCCTGGGAGCAGCCGAGTTTGGGACTTGGAATGAGCCGAGGCCATCTCTTGATGAGAGGGACCTCTTGGCATCCTGCTTGGTGCCTGAGGGAGGCGGGGGGCCTCAAGTGCCCATTGACCCTGGATCTGCAATCAGAAGGCAGGACATACAGTCACACGTTGGTGGCTATTTCTCAATTCTCCATTTCTTGGGGCACATCATTTTAGTAATCAGAGCTTCCATTTACTGGGGGGTACTCTGTGCCCTACCCTGTGTGTGCAGTAACTTTATGAGGTGAGTGAGGTTGTACCCATTTTCAGACAAGGAAACTGAGGTTCGGAGGGGAGGAGTGAGTTGCTCAAGAGCACGCAGCCAAGAAGGCGCGGAACCAGGGACTTACCCCCGGGTCTGTCTGACTTCAGAACCAGGCTCTTACATGCCTATCCACGTCTACATAGCGCACAATCTTGGTTTGTGTGGGTCGTATAATTTCCATTGTATAGATGAGAAAACCGGCCCGGGGAGTGTAAGTGAGGGCACAGTGAAGGGGAACAGGTTCAAGTCTTCTGTCTGTGAGCCTCCTGTTTAGCATGGCTGCCCCTAAGAGGATGGCAACAAGTCCGTGTCCCCCAGAGCAGACCTCCTCTCTCCGCTCTTCCTCTGCCCACCTCTTTGGGGAGCATCTCTCCCAATATCAGAGAGCCAGTCTGCAGTGGAGTGGTGAAGGGAAGCTCTTTGCCTAGAAATCTGGGAGGCCTCTTCTTTCTCCCCACCTTCTGGGTTCAGAGGAACTACGTCCCTGCCTGTCACAGCCTCGCCCGGGGGTGCCTCCCGTCCTTTCTGGAAGGGGTGGCCTGAGAGTCAGTTTCTGTAGATAAGCCAGGCAGGTCTGCAAGCTTTGCCTGAGCCGCTGAAGCCACAAAGGCCGGCAGAGACTGTGGGGCTGGGGGAGCCGGTGTGACCTGGCACCACGAAGCGGATCAGGAAGGAGCTTTGGGCTCAGCCAGAGCTGGGTTCAAATCCCTGTGCGTTTATTTACTGAGGGGCGTCTGTGTGCCAGACACTGGGCTGGCCTCTGTGGATACATCAGCGAACAAGATAGGCCCTGTTCTCTGGGGGCTTACTTTCCAGAACAGTAGACAGAGCCTGACAGCCATCCCGAGCTTAATTAAAAGGATAATTACAGGCTGTGCACCGAGCTCTGAGGGAGAGGCACTTGGCCTCACAAGAACACGTAACGGGGAGAAGTAACGGCATGCAGGTGGCCCAGGAAGGCTTCCTGGAGGAAGTGATGTTCAAGAAGATATGTGAAGGATGAGTAGGCCTTTCAGGTGAAGGTATGAGGTGGTAAGAGACAGAGGAAAACCATTCCTGGCAGAGGGAACCGCATATGCAAAGACTTGGTGGCTGGAGGGAGCACCATGAACTTGGGGAATGGGAGGATTTGGAAGTGGCTGGAGTGCGGAGAGAAAGAAGGGTGCTGGATGCAGAGGGGACAGATCACACGGTCCTATCGTAAGAGCCAGGGGAAAGGAGTGGGGAGGAGTGAAGAATGTGGAAAGAGGAGTGTGGCGCTGCAGTGGATTGCTTGTAAATTGCGCACTCGCTGACAAGCATCTGTCTTTACCTTCACAAGTGTCTGGGTTTCAGTTTATTCATAGGGGGGTGAAAATTACCCCCCTGTCGGGAGAAACCGTGTGACAACACCCACTGTGGTAGCCTGAGCTTCTCCAGGGCAGGCAAATCATTTTTTCTGTCTTCCCCAGTGCCGCCAAGGGGACGTTGGAGACACGGTGCGCTCAGCATGATGTCCTCCAGTTAAACCCAGCCAGCTCGATCCTGACTCCTTCCTGGCTCGCTTCACCCCCGCCCTCTTCCTTTCCCTCCCCGCCGCCACCCCTTAATTTTGTTTTGGTTCCCAGAGCGAGCGGGGACTGGCTTCCCGTTGCCATGACGACTGCCATTAAGGGAGGCAGCCACGTGACAGGAGTTGATAACAGAAGCGAAGTGACTAACTGCCTTGTTTTCCTGCCTCTGGGCTGGGTCTGGGAGGCCTCTTAATTGGAGGGAAGAAGGCAGGGGCTTGTGGGCGGGAGGAGAGACCCCAGGAAGGAGGCAGGGGGAAGCGGCGGGTGTGGCAAGGAAGCTACGTTTAGCTCCGCAAACTGGAGCTGATGTCAGGGCTGTCACCGGGAGCCGTCATCACTGAGGCTGAGCTGGGCCTGTTGGCGGAGCTGAGCCTCTGAGCCCCTGGGTGGGGGGCGATGGGGGGGGAGGGCGGCACATGCTGAGAAGTTCGGAGGAAGGAGAGGGAAACGCTGATGTTACTCCTGGGACCCCGTGGTGGTTTGACTCTAACCCAGTGGTTCTTAATGAAGGAGGGGGGGCAATTTTGCCCCCCAGGTGGGGTGACCAGATAACATACAGGTCACACAGTCAAATCCGAATTTCAGATAAACAATGAATCTTTTTTTAGTGTTAAGTATGTATGGCTACATCTGGCAGCCCTACCCCAGGGGACGTGTGGCAGGAGACATATTTGGTTGTCGCAACTGGGGCTGCCACTGGCATCTGGTGGGAAGAGGCCAGGGATGCTGCTCACCTGCCTGCAATGCACAGGACTGCCCCCCCACCCCTGCCACCCCAGCAGCTCAGAACGGCAGTCCTGTTGAGGGTGAGAAACCTCTGTGACCTCTGTGCGGGGTGAGGGGGGACGGGGATGGGGACGGGGGACACAGGGGACTGTGCCACTCTTCACAACAGCCCTAAGAGGTGGAACCAGAGGTGCAGAGACATTAAATAGCTCCATTTAGGGTCACACAGCCAGTGGAGAAGCCAGGATTCAGAGCCCGCTTTGTCAGGATTTGAAGGGTGGCCTTGGGAACCTGGCTCCCAGAGGGCAGAGGTAGGGAGCTATGAGCTTCAGCACAGGCCCTGGAAACACGGCTTGGGGTCAGGTGTGTGTGGGGGAAGGCGATGAGGCAGGAAGTCTCCATGAGTCCCAGCGTGTGCCGGGTTGTGAGTGCCGGGCTGCGGCGGTTGGACTTGCTGCATCGGATAGTGGGGAGCTATAGAAGATTTAAGAGCAAGGGAGGGTCTTGCCTAGAGTTGAACTTCGGGAAGTATCAGCT